ATCCGAGGGGGAGACCGACTAGGATCCTCTAAGGCCCCTGTGAACTTCTCCTGCTCGACTGCTGTCCCGAAAGCTAGAGGTAGCTCGCTAAGGCCATCTGAGGCCGCCTCCCAGACTTCAACTCGTAGATGTCGATGCTGAGCTCCCGAGAGAGCCGAGGTTAAGGCCCGAACGGACAGTCCACTCCATAGACGATCGAGGATGACTTGATGATGAGACAGTTTGTCATCGTCGAGGTCTATCCCGATCTGCACCCTGGTGACGTCGGCGGGTAGTCCCAGCCGGGTGCTAGAAGAACTGGCACCTGCGATCGCGAGGTGCCCCAGAAACGATGCCAGCTCGCCCGACTCGAGCTGGCGCTTCGTCCAGCTCGCCGTTTCTGAAGGATGATCAAGATCGATCGAGCTACCATCTGACGTGTCCCAGACTCCGAAATGTCGTTCTCGATCGTAAGGAACAGGAGCCCTTCTGAATCGGTTCACAATCGTCGAAACAGATCGCATCGAAACCTTATGATCTCTGGCGGCGCCAAAACGATCCTGAACGTCCGATAAGATCCGATCTCTAGCATCGTGTCGGAGCGAGGCCAGCGCAAACATCGTGGGACTCAACGCCTCACTTCGCTGAGTACCTTGCGCATCGCCTCCTCCATGGCCCTCGCATTCTCGGCGCGCACCTCCTCGATGATCGCCTCGCGGATCTCCTGCACTCCCTGGCGCTCCTGAGCAAGCACGTTCCTGATGCTGTCCATCATGCTGCTGACGTCCGCGTGCGTGATCCTCGCCGAAGGAGGCGGCTCGAGCATCCTGACCCACGTCCCGCTCGACGGAGTCTTCGGTGGTGACTTGTACCCGACCAAATGAGGATCTGCTGGAGGGGACTTCACTGCCGTCGCGGGGGCCGTCGAGTAGGAAGTGCGCGGAGGGACCTCGTCGATCGCCTCCAGGTCCCCTGCCTGAGCCTTGGGAGCCTTGACCTTGGGGACTGCCCCGAGAGCCCTCGAGATCGGCACCAGGCGGATGCGGTCGGCTGGCTCGTGCGGCTGCGGCTCCGGCTCCATCTTGATCTCCAACTTGGCTCTCTGGGCGAGTATCTCGGCCTGCATCTTGATCGCCTTGCGGTCCTTGCGCTCCTTGCCCCGACGGCCACGAGCCTGAGCTGCCTCGAAGATCTCCTGAGGGGTCTTGCGGCGGATCCAAAGACGGGCGTTGCACACCTCGCAGTGGCAGTAGTGCGCAACTCCGTTCTGGCCGGAGCGGCGGCGATGCACTGGATGCTCGAACGTGTCTGGAGTCACGTTGGGGGCCTCGTCTTCGAACTGGTTCGGGTCTACCACTGGCGACAGCGCGGCCATGATCCGCGAGCTGGCGCACACGTTGATGAATGCGATCGTCTTGAGAGAGACACGACGCCAGGCCATGGCAGCCTTCTCGATGACGTAGCGGCCCTCGAAGAACATCTCCTTGTCCACTGGATCGAGCATCTCGTCGTGCACCAAATGCTGGAGCTCCGTGTCGCGCCACGGATCTGGCATCTCCTCCCAGTTCTCGGCCATCTCGAGATCCGAGCCGCCCTCCTCCTCGACCTGAGAAAGACCGTTCACCACCTTGCTCGTCCGGCGCCGCAGAGCCGACAGTGAGCGAGGTCCTCGACGTAGCTGATGCACCGTCGAGTTCGCCTTCCTGATCGCCCGAGCCGGCATGATTTGCCTGACTCTGAGAATGGTCTGACTGACTGATTAGACTGAAGGGCTGGCTCCCTGAGTCGCCGGCCCGGCTCGAGCCTAGAGTAGCTAAGGGTAGTGACGGTGATGTCCCATCAAGGGCCCTCGAATCGTGGACCCGCTGTCGAGACATAGAGAGAGAGACGGAGGGAACGAGTAGACCTGACTAGCAAACACTGCGCCCAGCCCCTCCCTACGGTCCTGAATGACGAAGGGCGGGGAGCGCTTGGCGAGGTCGTCACTGAGCTTGAAATCCTCTGGAGGACATCCCACCAGAGATACTGCACGATGCCCTGATGGCAGGCGATGCAGCTCCAGCTCTCGACGACCGTCGCCAGCCCCGACCGACATCGTGCCCCTGTTCATGTCTACCTTGGCCTTGAGAAATTCCAAAAACTTGGCGGGCAAGAGAGGTGGGCATGCATGTGGTGAGATAAGAAATCCCACCACCCCACATCCGCACATCGTGACGGGCACCGAAGCTCGCCCTACCGGCTTGACTCTGCCCCCAACTCCGCAGGCCGGAGGAAGATCGGCAATGTCGTAGGACACGTGGACCTCGTAGCCGACATGGTTCAGGGCCTTCCTGAGGTTCCCAAGATTCGGTTCTCCTACCAAGGCTGATCCCGCAGCAGTGTCCACGAGAGCGCAGTCCATCAGGTTGTCCAAGGTCAGCTCCCGCGAAACCTCGGCCAGGACGAGCTCGAGCTGCTCGGCATCGTCGGGTAGCCACGCGCCGCCGATCAAATCCCCGACGCACGTCTGGAGCTCGTCCTCGGACACGGCAAGGCAGGTGGGGCCGTCGAAGCCGCGCACGTTGAAGTAGAAACTGTTAGTCTTGTCCGGCTTCGACTGCGGCTTTCTTTACTCTTTAAGCCGGTCCTCTTTCGATCTGTAAGGGTTACGGCAGTCCTCTTTCCAGTGGCCCTTCTGTCCACAGTTCGCGCATCTGGATATTTTCTTTAGCTCGCTTTTGCCAATCTTCTTGCCGCGACGTCTATCGAAGAAATTCCAATCTATACGACGGGCGTTCTTCATGTCCTTCGACTCCTTCCAGGTGCGCTTGCGCTTGGTCTCCACGAGTTGGGCAAAGACATGATAGGCCTCGTCCTCCGTGAGGTCCTGCTGATCCAACGCCAGCAGGAAGCCATCCGCCTCGGACTCACTGAACTCGGTCTCGAAGAGATCCACGACTGCATCGTCCTCCTTCTCGGCCGTCGTCTCTTCTTCTTCTAGTTCCTGCATATACGTCCTGCCTGGAGGCCTGGGCGAGGTGGTCGCCGTCGGAAGCACAGCCTGACCATTCGAGACGTCCAGATTGAGAAGAGCAGCTCGGATAGATAAGAAATCTTTCTTTCCACAAGCCAGCGTTGCGAGATTGATTCGATTTTGATGAAAAAGCATGGCTCCTTCTTCGTAATAGCGAGCCTTGATGGAGTCCGTGAGAGTAAGACCTGCACTCTCGGCCTGGAGCAACTGTCCGTCACGCCTTATCACGTAATCTGTCAGACTTTCACCCTTCTTAATGACATAGTCGAATAGTGCTTCGTTCTGCATCTGCCGATCTTTGTCGCCGGGTCTCTCTCCCGACAACAGAGTCAAATGCTCAACTAGCTTGTCGAGTCCCGACTCGGCGGCCAGTGATAATCTGATCGTCTTAAACTTGGCCTGGAGCTCGAGAGGGAACGTCTCGAGCACTCGATCCGCCTGCAGACTGGTCTTCAATGCCGTCCTGCGGGTCCACGCCCACAGATTGTGAATGTATATGTCTAAATGCTGCATGCCGGGCCAGGTCGGCGGGGCTGAGTAGTCCCTAGACTTCTCTTCTTCCCAAGAGCTCGCATGCCACGACCTCGACCACCATGAACCACCATCGCGCCGGCCATCTCGATCTCGGCCGTCTTCGCCACGTCCTGGGTCGTCTCTGGTCCTGCCGAGATCGGACGTGCTGTCCTTCCACTCGACCTTCTTCCAGTCCTCGGACTTCCAGGAGTACGCGTCCTCGTCGGTGTGGGAGCTGTGCCACCAACCAGGCGACCACTCCCACACGATTTTAGCTGTCCAGCCCCATGCCCCGGAACCCCACCAGTCCTGATGCCCGGGCTTGTCGTCGGGCCTGTCATTGGGCTGGTCGGCGGGCTGGGCCGTATCTTGACGGTTGCCTCCTGACCCTGCCGCGCCTGAGCTCGCTGGAGCTTCCGCGGGTGGGTCTGGAGGCTGTTCTCCCTCTGGGCTGGTCTCCACGAACGTTCCATGACCTGATTGCCAAGGGTCAAAGCCGTGAAACCACGGATCTGACGTACCTGAATATGATCTTCCCCAGGTGGTTCTGGAGCCGGGTGCCCTGAGAGTGCCAGACGTCCTGCTGGGTGCCCTGGAGCGGGAGAGATCTGACGCCATACCCTCACGAGGATCTTCACTAACCACGCTCCGCTTACCACTGTCAGCATCGCGAGACATCGTGCGACCGATACGATGATATGTTTCAGACTCCCTCACTCGAGAGCACCTATAAAGAACATGCTGGCTAAAGCCGGAACGGCTACGTACAGAAACGGACTGTACAATGTCTGTCACATAGCTGGCAACAAGCGCACACGACTTGGGGGGGAGTGGGCAAGGAGAGACAGGCGCCAAAGGCCAAAAGGGCGCCGAAAACCAAAGAGGCGCCGAAAACCACAAATACGCAGAAAACCCACGATGCGCCGGAAACGGAAAAAGAAAAATAGCTTCGAAGCCCTTCCTTCAGCCACAGCCCTCCAGTTGAAAAGCCAACAGAAGGAGGGGAGGGGGGGTAGTTTCGAAAGCTCCCCCCCGACTCCCCGCCCCCTTTGGAAAAGTGAGCCCGGGCTTACCCTGGGCTCCGAAAAGGAGGGGAGGGGGGGGATAGCTTCCAAACCCTCCCACCCTTTAGCCAGGGACCCCAGTTACAACATCCAAACAAAAGGAGGGCGGGGTAGCTTCGGTAGCACCTCCCCCTTTGTAAGGGGAGCCCGGGCTGACCTTGGGCTCTAGAAAAGAAGGGGGAGGGGGTAGCTTAGAAGCCCCCCCCCATTTAGCTAGGGCCCCTCTAGCTCCGAAGTGCCCACCGAAGGGAGGAGGGGTGTAGCTTCGGAAACACCCCCCCTTTTCCAAGGGAGGTGGGGGGGTAGCCTCGAGCTGGGGCACCCCTTTTGAGTGAGAAGTGTGCCAGGAGCGCGCTCATTCAGAGGAGAGCACTGACCAGCACGAGCGGTGCGACGGACAGCTCTGACCGCTGGAGCAAAAGCACCCGCTCCTGCCGCGCGCTCCTCCGCGTAACGGGTGAGCATGAAGAGGGAAACCGCCGACCCCGCTGGGCACCTGGCGTGGACCACGGCCGCCTCGTGAGAGATTCATCCCGGGCTCCTCCATCAGAGTCGGTGCCCAGGAGCTGGAGCGCCCGCAGCCAGAGATCATGTGGCGAAGCTGGCGCAAGTCAGCAACGCGTGCACTCCTGACCGCTGCTCCCTGGCTGGGCTTGCCCAGAGGGTTCTCACCGTTTGCGTGACAGGCCCCTCACCTCAGGGGCCTCGCGTGTCTCCCCCTGGGCCGACTGAATCTTCAGAAAGGACACCTAAGGAACCCTCGCGGGACTTGAAGTACCCCTCCTGAACCTCTCCCGTGAGCCTCGCGTGCCTCCCTCCCCCCTTACAGCCGGACCTATGACAGAATACCATCTTTTAAGAACATGGGATCTCCGCTGTCCAGCCAAACTGAAGAACATCCGAGGGTGCCATCCCCCAGGATGCACAACAACATTGAACAATAGAGGCCTCCTAGATGGGGTCCGAAAAGATGGGGTCGGAGGATCGCGCAGCATCGGCGGTACATCGGCTTTACATCGCCGATGCATCGGCGATGCATCATCGACGTCTGCGATGCATCGGCGCCAGCAGCGTAGAGAAAATCGGGCTCCTCATCGAGCCGCATCGGCGATGCATCGGCGATGCATCGGCGATGCGGCGCGATCCGCCGACCCCATCTACTCGGACCCCATCTGGGAGGCCTAGAAGCAGGCACGAGGAACATTAGGGTACCCTCCCCGAGCCGAACTCGATGAGGAGGAGGAGGAAGAGGAGGAGGAGGTCGCTCCTCTGACACGCAGCGTGGCCGGCGGCGTTGCCAGGAAGCTCACTCCAAGAGTGCCCGCTTGCGGCCGCCGCACACTGCGCTGCCCGCGCTGCTGCCAAGAAGGGGGAAAGAACGCGCTTCGTGGGCGCGTGCCTCGAAAGAATATTTGGACACGTCGGAACCCGGGGGGGGAGCCTCCCCCCAAAACATTGAGAACGCCCGGAGAACCTGGGGGGGGTAATGAGGCCCCCGCCCCGGACATCGGCCTCTCTTACCCCGGAAGGGGTTGTCGAACCGGCGCCCCCCCTCTGTGCAAGCGGCGGTGGTTCGAACTTCCCCCTGACCTTATGATCAGTGCTCGATCCAACTATACTTGAATCCTACCATGGCGGGATCCAGCTCTAATAACACCGTAATCCAGCTCAATCCAGCTCTGATAAAATCCGACTATGGTCGCTGGATCCAGTTCTACCTAAATCCTCCTAAAAATACTAAAGCTCGCAAAAGCTTTAGTGGAATCCGAACATAGCTGGTTCCAACTTTATCAGCATCCTAGCTGGGCTCGATCCAACACGAGTGGAATCCGACTATAGCTGGATCCAGCTTAGAAGGGCTCGATCAAACAATTGTGGAACCTCACTATAGCATTAAGCTCTAATTGAATCCTGCTAGGGCTCGATCGAACTTCAATATAATCTTGGTATAGCTCGTTCCAGCCTTCATAGTATCCTACTGATGCTCGATCGTCGTCGTCGTCGCTGCCCGACTGTGCAGGCGCTGGCGCTGGCGCTCGCCGTCGTCAGTTGCAGGGGGGGGGGGCCTCCTCTCCAGTTCGAACACCCCCCACCCATACAATTCTTCAACGGTGGGGGGGGAGTGCCGGTTCGAACCCCCCCTCGCAATTCAGGGGGTGGGAGGACCAGCCCCCCTCCCCCCTCCATGCGTCCACAGAACGCACTCTTTCCAAGACGATCACCAGGAGGCGCACTCCAAGAGTGCCCGCTCACATCCAGCGCCCATCGCGTTACCGCCTTTCTAGCCAGGGCGCCTGCCAGAATGCTCGTTCCAGCTGTGCCCGCTCGCTTACGGCGCACATCGCGCGGCCAGCGCTGGTGCCTGAGAGCTTACGCCGGGCGTGCCCGTTCGCTTGCGGCGCCCATCGCGTTGCTGGCGGTGTTCTCAAACTAAGCTTGCATAGAAGGCTCTTGCTATTCATGTAGTCAGCTCCCTGAAAACTGTCGCCAATGTCGCTGGCTCCTGGGATGTCCAACGCAATCGCGCCTTACGCGGATCAAACCGGACATCGATTTCACTGCGGGGCTGCGAGCTCCGAATTCTTTGCAACTTTCGTTGGTTCCTTCTCCTTCTCCATCTCCTCCTTGGCCTCCTGATCCCCCTCTCTTCATCATCTTGATTCTCCCCCTGGCTCCGTATCACTTTCCTGAGTCGATGGCTGCAAGAACAATCTCAAACATGCTTAGAGTCGGCAGCGGCATCGGCCCGTTGAATAATCAAAGGAGAGAGACGTGCAGAGCATCAGCATCGTCATCAGGCAGTAGAACAGCACCGGGGTCTTCAGCGAAACGAAAGCCGCACGCGCACCGAGAGCACACACATGGCTGAATTGACAAGGAAGCATGCAAGAAAGCCCATAATCGAATCGATTTAAGTCGGATCGGCGATCGAAGTGAATCGGATCAGTGGAAGTCGGCAGCCGAGTCGGGAGAAGTCGAATCGGCGGAAGTCGGCAGGCTAATAAAGCCTCCACGGAGAAACCAGAATCCGAGTCGGCACCCGAGATCGAAGCGGCTCGGAACGAGAAGCCATCGAACCGAACCGAACCGAATCGGAGGAGACGACATGCGCCCTGGCACGTGGGGCGGCCGCGAGGGGTGGTTGGCGGGCTTGTTTTCAAACGCCACCTCCACAAGTAGGAGGGGGAGGGGGTCCTCCTCCTCCTCCTCCTCCTCCTCCTCCTCCTCCTCCTCCTCCTCCTCCTCCTCCTCTGTTCCTCCTTCTCCTCAGCCTCCGCCCCCTTCCCCCTCCAGCGTATGGTGGTGGTGGTGGAAAATAAGCCCATCAGTGGTGCCTCCTCCGCCTCCGCCTCCTCCTCCTCGCCACATGTTGGCGACAGAGAAGCTCTGGGAGGGGGAGCGACGACGCCGATGACGCGCGAGAAGGTCGAGGAGGCGAGGAGCAGCAGGCGGGCGCAGGGAACGGCTGCACGCAAGAGCGACCCTGGGTAACAGTCGGACCTAGGCCAAAGAAAGAACATCCCTCCGGAACATGAGGCCCTCCGTCGGGCAGGACGCACAGAACGTCCAAGGGTACCCCCCCCAGGACGCACAAAAGCTCCCGACAAGCACGAAGAACACTGGGGCATCCTCCCCGAACCGGCAAGCTCCCAACAAGCTCCCCAGGATGCACAAGAGCTCCCAACAAGCACAACCAGGTACAGTGGATGCCAGTCCACAAGAGACCTTCCACAAGAAACCCAACCCTGAGACCCAAGGGCTCCCATTGCTTTTTGGTGTGAGCACGTCGCGCTTTCCACAGAAAAATCATCGAAACCAAATAAACCCAGGGCACCCTAGAGGCGAGCAAGGTGTTTCCTGGCATGGGCCCTCACTGTAAGAGTGACATTTGGTGCGCGGCTTTTTGGGGGCCGCGGGGGGACGAAAATCCGAGCGCGCAGGACGCTACTATCGCATCGCGTCTGGCGATCGGGGGCCCCAGTGGGCCCGCACCAGAGGTCACTCTGGCGAAAGGTTACTCTTATTACGTGTAGTCGACGAGCATGCGCACCAGGGAATAAAAGCGGTAATTACCACGGCCGTACAGCGCCTCGTCTTAGCCTGCGGCCGCGGAATGGCGGGCTCGTCTTCAGGCGGAAGGGCGGAGAGGCCCTGTCTGGGCCGCTTCATCATTCGTCCTCATCCCTCCCCTCCATATCCTCCTTCTCCTCCTCCTCCTCCTCCTCCTCATCATCATGCTCCTACTGCTCCATCTTCTCCTCCTCCTCCTCCTTCTCCTCCTCCTTCTCCTCCTCCTCCTCCTTCTCCTTCTCCTCCTCCTCCATATCGTCCTCCATGTCCTCCTCCATGTCCTCCTCCTCCTCCTCTTCCTGATCCTCCTCATCCTTTAATTATTATTCTCAGTATACGTACAATCCAGTTAGTTTGTATTATTTTCAGTGTTCCTATTTTTAGTACCCTAGTTAGTACCCTAGTTAATATGATCATCACTATAGTTCGTATCATTTTCAGTGTTCCTAGTATTCATATCATTATGACTATTCGGTTCCTAGTATTCTTCTTAGTCGTATTATTATTCCTATTAGTATCAGTATTAGTTGTTATCATTACTGCTATGATTATTCCTTCTCCTCCATCTCCATCTCCAACTCCACCTCCATCTCCTCCTCCTCCTTCTCATCCACATCCTCCTCATCCTCATCCTCCTCATCCTGCTGCTCCTCCTCCTCCTCCATCATCATCATCATCACCACCACCATAATCATCATCATCGTCATCATCAGCATCATCATCATCATCATCATCATCATCATCAGCATCAGCATCAGCATCAGCAGCATCATCATCATCACCACCACCATCATCATCATTATCATCATCATCATCAGCATCATCATCATCAGCATCATCAGCAGCATCATCATCATCAGCATCATTACCATCACCATCACCATCATCATCATCATCATCATCATCATCATCATCAGCATCATCATCATCATCAACATCAGCATCATCATCGTCATGACCATCATCATCAGCATCTGCATCTTCATCTTCATCATCATCACCACCACCACCATTATCATCGTCATCATAATCATCATCAGCATCATCATCACCATCATCATAATCACCATCATCACCAGCATCATCATCATCATCATCATCATCATCGTCCTCATCATCATCATAAGCATCATCATAAGCAGCAGCATCATCCGCATCATCAGCATCAGCATCAGCATCATCATCAGCATCAGCATCAGCATCAGCATCAGCATCATCATCATCAGCATCATCACCATCCACAGCATCATCAAAATGATCAAAGTCAACATCACCAGCATCAGCATTATAGTCATCATCATCATCAGCATCATCATCATCGTCATCATCCCTCGTGGTCATCATCCTCGTCAGCAGCGTCATCATCATCGTCAGCATCATCATCATCAGCAGCA